ATTTTTTCACTGAAAGGGTTAATCGGCATTGGAATGGGCTGCCCAGGGAGGTGGTTGAGGCACCATCCCTGGAGGTGTTCAAAAGACAGGTTGATGCAGTGCTGGGAGGTATGGTTTAGTGATGGTGATGCTTCTTGTTTGTTGTGTAGGTGTCTATTTTTGTCAGTGAGGTTGACGGTTGGACAAGATGATCTTTAAGGTCCCTTCCAACCTAGAAGATTCTGTGATTCTGTGATTAAGTTGTGGTAATTCCCTTCTGTGGGATTTCAGGGCTTTAATCAGAGGCTCTTTTTGAAGCGGGGGGGTTGCAAAAACGTTCAGCTTCTGAGGTTTTGTTTATTAGTTACCGGTGTCTCTCAGCTTCTTCAAATGAAACAGCTCCTTTTCCCCGCGGAGCAGGGAGGTGACAGGCCCTTAGGTGCCCCACAGCCGCCCCGGGGGAGAGGGGAGGCGGCGGCCTGAGGGAGGCGGCCTGAGGGGGGGCGGGCTTTCACCTCAGCGAGCCTCGCGGGCGGCGGCCAATGGGAGGCGGCGGCGGGGGTCGGGAGGGAAACAAATCAATTAGGGGGGGGGGGGGGGGGGGGTTTGGGTGGGTTGCCAGCCGCCCTCACCGGCGTTTGGTGCGGAGAGCGGCTGCGCTGGAAGGGGCAATGGGAGCGAATGGGAGGGGGAAATAAAAAGGCTAATTAACTTTGCGCTTCCCTCTCGCCGCCCGGGCAATTAATTAAGGGGGGATGCAATCCAAGCGCCTTCTCTTCCCTGGGAAGGAGCGCTGCTCCCCGAGCGCGGGAAGGACCGGAGAGTCGCCCTGTGCAGAAGGGATTGAAAAAGCTTGAAATTAAACGTTTTGGGTGATATACCCAAATATCCCTAACTTCTGGCTTGTACGGCAGAAAGTACCGGGTCCGGGGAGAGCCGTGAATGGGGTTCCTGCCCCGGGCTGATGCTCTCTCTCTCCCTTTGCCGACCTTGGCTCTGGCTGAGGCTTTGACATCATCGCGGCTCTGCTGGATGAGGCAAAAATCAATCCATCTCCGGAGCCAGAGCCTTGTTTTCCAGCCTGGATCTCTCCCCTCCACCTCCCCGCACTGTCGGTGGTACCCAGGGCTGCAGCAGGTGGTGGTGTCCACCTCCCTCTTCCCAAACCATCTTCTTCCCGTCCCATCCGTACACTCCGGGCCTATAGTCCTTCCTCCGTAGGTTACCAGAAGTTCTTCAAGGCTCTGAGCTTAAGTCCCGGGTGGTTTAGGTCACGTTCATTTGGGGGATGATGCTCTTTCCCCAGAGGAGCGTGTCTCTTCTCCACACCGAGTGGCAGCCGCTCTTCCATCCCTGGAGATAATGTTCAGGCAAGGGGAAAGATGCAGTTATTTATTACCCCTCAGATCCTTTTGATAACTTGGGTATTTTGTAATGGCTTCTTAAATTCATAGTAGGAAGTTACTTGATCCTCAAAGCTATAGAAAAGCCTTGATTGATCTTGGCTTAATTAGAAGCAGAGTTCTCTTATAGCTGCTCCTGGGTTGGTGCCACATAGGTTCTTAGCAGAGGATTATTGCAAACCGATACGTGGTAAAAGCATAGGAGTCTGTCTCCTGTGAGAAGGTGTCTACAAAGCTCCCTATCCCTTGGCACCCAGTGTTTTTCTCACTGGTTGGGGGTCACCTGAGAACAAACTGTTCCCCACATGGCAGTGGGGTTTGTCCCAGCCCTGCTGAACGTGCACCTGGGGCTTCTCTGACCCATGCAGGACCTCGCTGGCTGCAAGACAGGCCACTCAAAGCTTTCACTTTTCTCTGGGCACAGGAAGCCCAGAATAAACAGCAAAGCCCTCCCAGACAGGTCTAAGTAGGGTTTGGGGATTAACTCTCAAGTCCCTTGTCCTCTGAAGCGCGTCCTTTAGTATTGGTGAAGGGAGCTGATGGTCTGCATGCCTCCTCCCCTGGTTTGACTTCCTTTTTCTTTCCCATTAGCTTTTTCCCCCAATTCTTCTGTGTATGTGGGAGACCGATACCAAAGCTACACCTCTTATCTCAGGCAGAGAGGACTTGAGCTAGGTTTTTGGTTTACGGGGATGAATGCCTTAGCGTGGCTCTCTGTTTTAAGAGTTTAACTCCAACTTTCCTATTCCCCTTGGAGCATTCTGCACTTCAACTTATATCTTGCCAAGACAGATCGTTTCATTAAGGACTAACTTATCTAACCCATTTTAGAAGCTTCTGTTCTGGGTGAACTTGACAGTCTGATGCCTCTTTTTTTTTTATTTTTATTTTTTCAAAAGAAAAAAAGAGACATCCCTGAAGCAAGGAAGAAATGGCCACAGAGGGACAAAGTAGGCCACTAACCTTTAGCAAAAGGACAGAAAAAGATTCCTTGCAACTCTTGCTGGTATCGTAGAAGTGAAGAAGAAATCTGCTGAGAGCTATACATCGCTCTCGAGAGGAAGCATGGAACCCTTGTGGGCTTTGAGCTGTGGAAATCCAGCTCAGGGTAACAGGCCGAAGCTCTGCTGAGTCACAGAAGTGGGTTTTTTTTTTTTTGAGAAGTCCCTTGAACAGATCCTAGCGAGAGATGTGGGTTTCAGGATATCCAGCATAATATGTTGAAAATATTGGGAGCCTGGGAGCTTCCTACCAGTCCTTCTGGGTGAGAAAAACCACTGGAGCCCGGGAGTTCTGAGGTAGGAAGCTGGGTAGAAACTTGCCAACTAAGTTATGCCCAGGATTAAGACGAGGAGCTTAAGTGATTTGTTTATTTTTATCTGGCTGCGCATGCTTCCTGAGGCCAGCCACCCTTCTGACACCAGTTAGCAGTACTGGTGTGTGCAGGGGTGATTTAGGGCTTTATCTAGCTCAGAAACAGGTTGGAAACTTTGGTGTTTTCCAACCCAGTCTTTAAAAATTGGAGTTTTGCATCTCCATACCCCTTTGAGCTTTCCGTCTCAGGCTTGACATCAAGCAATAGGAGCAGATACAGGTGCTGTGTTGGGATGTGATATGCAAAAGAAGTACATCTTGCATGTGGATCGAAAACCACCTCCCCTGCTGGTAAAATTCGTAGGAATTCCTTGGGAGCAATGCTTCTGCCTCACGTCATCATTCTCTGGCTGTACCTAAGTTTCCTGTGGGACAAAGATGAGCATTTTTGATCCTGGTCCTATTTAGGCAGCCGCCCTTTAAATATGGCAGTTAGGTGTTTTTGTGCTTATTTCTCCTCCTTTGAGCTTTCATAAAAGCTCTGCTATTACCGCACCGCCTTCGGAATGGGATACGTTACTCTCTCCTCGCTCAGCACTATTTTTGTAAATGGTTTGACGACAAACGCACACGAGCGCTCGTTGAAGGCAGCGAAGATCTAATCTGGGCTTCCTTTTCCAGGTATTACCCCTGCCTGCTGCCGGTTGTTTCAGAGCCCTGTGAGAATGCTGTGCTCTACAGGTACCCTCTGGGCTTGTCAGCCAGCCCGTGCAGTGTCCTGCAAGTCTTAGATTTAGTTCCCTTGTAGTCTCCTCAAACCCCAGCAGGCTCCTGCATAGCCATCCCTGCAAGCCACGAGTTCCAAGAAGTCCTCACCCTCTGCTAAATCCTGCTCTACACGTAGTCTAGAAAACAGGCTTAGACCTGAGGCTTAGGTTTTTTCCCTCTTTGCGACGTTTCTCTCAAATGTGTGGGTCACTCTTGCTTTCCTGAGCGGGGAATTCACCCCTCGCATCTGGCTGGGATAACGTCTCAGAGGAACAAGCAGCTATTGTCTGAGTCTTTGTGTATTCAGAGCTGTGGCAGTGGGGTGGCCTGATGGAGGCAGAGTAACTGCTTTGGGTCTGCACTAGTTGATAAAATATATTCTTGGTTCAGCCAAAACGAACTGGGGAGCCACGTAGGGCTTTAGGAAGTAGTTTCTTGCATGTAGGAACTGAGCTGTGAGGACATGAATATTGAAGCTGGTGAGCACTTTGGAACCTGCTATCTCCTTTGCTCCGGTTCTGTTGGCAAATAACATATGAAGGGATTAATCTAAGGAGCAATGCAGGCAGAGGTAAGTTTGGGGTGACAGCAGACCTCATCTTTCCTGCGGGATGAGT